TATCTGCTCTGTTTCCTCCAATTCTCTCACTCGGTCTCTGCCTGTCTGTCTTCATTTGTCACACACACTCACGTTACTTCAGGGCAAATCCGGCTACACTAGCTCTTACTGGTAAACTCATAAAAGCCCCTCTCCCCCTCAAACCTACTTTTTCTAGCTTATTTTCTCAGCCTTCCTTTTGTCAGTCTCATTCTTTCAGTCCATCTGTCTTCTTTTGCTCCCTGGCCTCTCCTGATCCCCTCTCTCCCCAAAGCAAGAATCAGAACGTCAGGGTTTAGATAAACCCGTCTGGACAGCAGCCATGAGAGTCAGTGCCTTCCCCTCTGTACACACACGCACACAATCAGACTACAGCAGCTAGACAAAATGCCTTGTTATGGCTACACACAGACTCGTTTACACATTTAGCAAGAAAGAAAGAGAAAAGATTCTTTCTCACACCAATAATCTATATGGCAGTGGGTGAAATTCATTCTGTCCACACCATTCCTCCTTTTATTTACCTCCATTCATTCTTTGCTTTCTCTGACACCTCTCTTCTTTCTCCTTTATTACCCTGATCCCTTTTAGCAGCCATGTTTCCATATGTTAGCGTGTGTGTATAGAGGGCAGCTGTATTTGTGCAGTGTACTTGAGACCATTACAGCTGCAATTAAGTGTGTGCATGTGTTCCCAGGTTCCCAGCTCCCAGGACAGTCATCAGTTCAGGGGTTAAAAAAATCAAATCATAGTTTAAGTGACCAGCAGCTGTTGTGGTCGTTATCAGTGCGTCTGATCACGTCCAGGGCTTGTGACCTAATTGCGGTAAGCTGCGAACTCCCCTCAACCCAGGAGTAAACCGCCACAATGCTGCATTGTTCTGCTACGTTACACTGCAAACTCTTGACTGACGCCACAAGGATGGAGGGAATTTGTGTTTTCATTAAAATTCCACCTGCATCCATTTTGCATGGTACAAACAAAGTATTCTTGTCTCCTGTTTGTATGTACTGTACCTATACTGTACCTGTATGAACTGTATATGTATTTGTGCTAAACCTTCAGCCTGAAATTCATTTCCTCAATAAGTCTCGGTTTTATCCACCTATTTTTTCCCCATTCATACTCCATATATTCGCTGTACTCCGCTTGGAATAGAACAAAAGGAATAGAATAGTGGAGAAATGTTCTTTACACGAAGAATAAATGGTTCTCTTAAGAACTGTTCTTTGGGGAACCAGAACTTTTTTCTCTGGCATCACTGTGAAAATCCCCTTTTGGACAGATTTGACTGAATTAGGTCCTGAAATATCTGTAAACAGGGGGGAAAAAGTCACACAGATACTTTGTTTTGCCAAGCAAATTACTTTGAAGCACTTTCGGCACGACAATGCTTTTGCACATTCACAGAGCAGCCCATATATGGGATGCAGGAAGTAGAGAGTATCTGAGAAGAGGATTGTTCAAGCTAAATGCCATATTCAGCCTCATAAGCAGCTGTTATAAGCAGCTGTCAGTTTGTGGTGCAAGAATGATATTTTGCTACATGCTGTTGCTCTCCTGCTTCATCTCTGATTACAATATTCTCAGTGGCACAACTGTACATTTGTAGGGTGGGATTTTGGTAAGAAAAAGCATTTCTAATTCAGTTGCTATAGTCTGGCAGTTCCAGTTCTAACATCACCTTTAAAATTTAGAGCAATTCCTAATCTAGAACTGCAATCTCATGGGAGTTTCACAAAATCCATCTTACAGACATGAAACTCTGTGGCCTGCTCTCTCAAACAAACGGTTCCAGGGAGCTGGGAATATTTAGGGAGTGAGAGAATGTGAACAGAACACAAGAATCATCAAACATTCTTTTAGTGACAGGTTCTTTACCCAGACCTCACAAACCATGCACAAACATCTGGGCAACGCTACAAAAATAAACTCATTAATTCATTCATGTAAACTAAAGCAAACACAGATCTGCCCACCTCTGTGTCTCTGTGTATGTTCAACCATAAAATAGAAAAGTGTGCCAGTGTGTGTATATGAATGCATGCAGGTGTGAAAGTGCGTGAGGGAGGAAAAACTGTGTGTCTCCTCCTAAATCAGCACACACATTTCAGCAGAGGTCAGAACTGACCCACCAAAGGACCCCACAGATCCACACACACATACTGCCCAGCTGCTGGCATACACAGGCCATCCCTCATTTCCCATTCAAAACATAACATGCTCCCTCCAGACCAATCCATACAGCTCTGACAGCTTGATGAGTGTGTGCTTTAGCCTTTTCAGTAGGCAGAATGACCAACATGCGTTCTGAGACCCGTCGGTTTTGAAAATTTAAATATATGTCGTCCAACTAGACGGGTCTGTAGGCTGATCATTATTACTCACCCTCAATTTATTCCAAACCTGTAAGAATTTCTCTCTTATGCTGAAAACAAAAGAAGTCATTTTGAAGAACACCAAATCAAACAGTTTCTAGTCCCTATTAACTTACATAGTAATTTTTTCCATACTATGGAAGTCAATGGGGACCAGCATAATAGTAAATTATCATTTGCTCACCCTCATGTTGTTACAAACCAATATGATTTTCTTTCTTCCATGGAACATAAAAAGGTGTTAGGCAGCACTGAATTAATTTTACAAGGATTGTTAAACAAAAACATATAGCCTATATATTCGACTTTAATTAACTTATGTAGTTGATGAAACTATTAAAAAGACTGTTGCAACATTCCTTATGTAATATTAAAGGGGTCATATGATGCTTTTTTTAAAGATCATTATTTTGTGTATTTGGTGTAACAGAATATGTTGACATGCTTTAATGTTCAAAAAACACATTATTTTTCAAATACTGTACATTATTGTAGGTCCTGTATGCCCCGCCTCTCTCAAACACATAGTTTTCAACAAAGCCTCCTCCTTTGACAAGCGCAGTCTGCTCTGATTGGCCAGCTGACCCAGTGCATTGTGATTGGCCGAACACCGCAAGCACTCGTCGGAAATGTAACGCCCCTTACCATAATCGCGAGCTTCATCTTTCAAAATAAATGTAAAGACAGTAAATAATGTCATTAGTTTTACCATCAGTTCAAGCCCGAAAGGGGAACAGAGTCGCGTGACAGACACAGTGATGAAGCTGGTATGTGTTTGCAGTACACAAGCCACGGTTAAGACAGCTGACTCCACTGTGATGTGACCCCCTCTCTCTCTCTCTCAC